TTATTTAATTAAAATTTAATTTATAATTTAAAATTTTATCTTATTAAATATTGATATTTAGATTTGAATACATATTATATATTATAATATAATCAGTTTCTAAATTTAAATCTCAATATTTAATATAGTGAGTTTTTAAATTTTGAATTAAGATTTCAATTTTCAAATATAAATTAACATTTTAATTTTTTTTAAAGTATATGCAATATCTTATATATATATATAAGTGCATATCAGTTCTAATTTTTAAAATAAATTAAAATTTCAACATTAAACAATATTATTTTATTTAATTAACATTCCATTCAAGAGAATCTATCTCATTAAATATTGATATCTAGATTTAGAAACTAATTATATATTTTAGTATATATATGAAAAAAGTACATATTAATCATAACTCTCAAAATAAATTGGTGTTTCAATTTTAAATTACGTTATTTTATTTAATTAAAATTTAATTTAAAATTTAAAAATTTATGTTATTAAATGTTAATATTTAGATTTAAAAATTAATTATTAATTTATAATTTAAAATTTTATCTTATTAAATATTGATATTTAGATTTGAATACATATTATATATTATAATATAATCAATTTCTAAATTTAAATCTCAATATTTAATATAGTGAGTTTTTAAATTTTGAATTAAGATTTGGATTTTCAAATATAAGTTAAGATTTTAATTTTTTTTAAAGTATATGCAATATCTTTTATATATATATAAGTACATATCAGTTCTAATTTTTAAAATAAATTAAAATCTCAACATTAAATAATATCATTTTATTTAATTAACATTCCATTCAAGATTTAGAAATCTATCTCATTAAATATTGATATCTAGATTTAGAAACTAATTATATATTTTAGTATATATATATGAAAACAGTACATATTAATCATAACTCTCAAAATAAATTGATGTTTCAACTTTAAATTACGTTATTTTATTTAATTAAAACTCAATTTAAAATTTAAAATTTTGTGTTATTAAATATTAATATTTAAATTTAAAATTAATT